GGTTATTCATCTTGTAATAAATTATGCTGGATTTTATTAATCAGATTGTTCTTCCCTTTTTATCTGTATGGTATTTGTAATGTGCTATTTAGATGATTCGTTGACTAACATATGTTGCGACTCTTGTTTACTATTTTATTGTTTCTAAACGTCATGGTATTTTAAAACTGTATTTTCTACCTTCCATCATGGTATTTTCAACTCCGAAACGTCGGAGTTGAGAACTTTATAGTCTGTGATTTTATATTTAGTTTTATTTTTATTTTTGTATTTATTATCAATGTGCATGTGCAATGAACTGTGCTATGCCTAGGACTGTGTTCTCCTGATTTCAATGAGGTGAGTGATGGCCAAACATATTTATCATACTGGAAGTATGTTATTGTTATCTCGCAAATAATGATATGGCAACCAATTAACTCATAAGGCCCATGTTAAATTTCCAAAAGTTTAAATCCACATAGAGAAAACCCTGTGGACTGATTTGTGCCATTTCAGATAATTGTGCTAAATTTGGTGCAGATCGCTTCAGCCGTTCAGGAGGAGTATTTGTAAAACCAAAGCAGGAGTGTATAGCTTCGCTTCGCTCCGCTCAATAATACCGGAAACGAAATAAATTTAGGCTAATCTTAAAATTATATGCTACATTACATTTTGAGTTGCGGTCCTTACACAGGACAAAATCTAGCGTATGGCTGAGGCATTTTCTTCTTTACATTTTATACAAATAAAATTACAATATTCTACTTGAATTCACTAAAACATCACCAACTGTAACAATAACCCCATTTTCGTATGGCTGTAAACAAAATTGTATCATGGCCATCAGTTTTGATGTAAACTTGAAAAAGTTCAAACTCTGAAATTTAAAAAGCCTTTAGGACGAAGGGCTTTCACGGGATATCTTGGATATCATCCAAACCCATGGTGGAAGGAAGAAACATATGACAGGTGTGCTATTCCCGTCATATGCTGACGTTACCCAGATTTCAAACACCATTTAGAAAAATTATTAAAAAACAATTACAATCAAAACAAATATACTTGTATGGCAATACAATCAGGCGATTTTTTCGTTTGCAATCTGAGTGACGTCAGCATATGACGGGAATTAATAACACACCTATGTTTTTTTCCTTCCACCATGATCCAAACCCGAAAAAGGCACATATAGAGGATACCCAATGTGCCTGTAAAAATAAGGGGTCGATTTGCTGAATACAAAAATCCAACAAAATCTTTTAATAAAATATAGATTCACTAGCCAATACTTTCAATATAAGTAATTTTCCAATGTAGGAAACAGTGTAACTTCACTCTTACAACAACATTAATTTAACAGTCATGTGGTTTAAAGGGCATTTTAAATTCCGTAACAGTTTGAATTAACGGAATCTATATATTAATTTGAAACTGTTTTTCTTTGTGACAGCTATTTTGAGAGAACGGGTGGGTGTAGAAACTCGGTAGAGGTGTCCAAAGAAAGGTCTTGGTCTGTAGATGAGCCATCACAAGAGAAACATGGTGAATTCCCTCGGGGCTCTGCCCCAGTGGCCTTTAAATTCCCATCCCATGTTATTCTTATGGAGGAAAACGGGGTTTTTGTCACAGCTAATTTGAGAGAACGGCTGTGCGTAAAAACTTTGTAGGTGTGTCTAAAGAAAGGTATTGGTCTGTAGGTGAGCCCTCAAAAGAGAAACGAGGTAAATTTCCTTGGGGCTCTGCCCCAGAGGCCTTTAAAGTTCACTCTGCAATTTTTTTTACATTACGACCATATGGATAATTTTACTCTACTTTTAATGAACCAGCTGTTAATATTAAAATTGTATTCAAAGGTCTACTGAAACTGTCAAAAATAAATGTTTACATTATCTATATATTAATTTGAAACTGTTTTTCTTTGTGACAGCTATTTTGAGAGAACGGCTGGGCGTAGAAACTCGGTAGAGGTGTCTAAAGAAAGGTCCTGGTCTGTAGATGAGCCATCAAAAGAGAAACATGGAGAATTCCCTCGGGGCTCTGCCGCAGTGGCCTTTAAATTCCCATCCCATGTTATTCTTATGGAGGAAAACGAGGTTTTTGTCACAGCTAATTTGAGAGAACGGCTGGGCGTAGAAACTTGGTAGGGGTGCCGGGTATTGGTCTGTAGGAGAGCCCTCAAAAGAGAAACGATGTAAATTTCCTTGGGGCTCTGCCCCAGAGGCCTTTAAAGTTCACTCTGCAATTTTGTTTACATTTCGACCATATGGATAATTTTACATTACTTTTAATGAACCAGCTGTTAATATTAAAATTGTATTCAAAGTTCTACTGAAACTGTCAAAATTAAATGTTTACATTATTATTTATGATTTTAAATGGATTCTCCACTGCATGGCAAGTTTTTTATAGTTTCAACAAAATGATGAATTTATGATACATTTGAAATGTTTTGTTCAAAAATCTATGCTTTATTGCTCTTAGAAAATTTTAAATTATGAAATAAGTGTGACTTATCAATTTCAAAGGAACATATAACTATTCCTTATCGGGTTAGCTTATACATATTGTAAGGTTGGCACTTGCCTTTTTTTCCTACTTTCAATCACCATTTATTTTTAAATTCAAGAAAGAACACCTGAGATTCATTTATTGGTATAACAGTTTTTGATAATCGGGTTGAAAATTGTGTCATAGATGAGTACGTTGAGGATGAGAGCTGTGTTCAAGTTTTGGAATAGACTAACTACGGAGTCTATGGTTTTGGTAAAGTAGGTGAACTAATGTAAATTCAGGTATTTAAAAAAAATGTGTACAGGGTTTTTATTTTGATGTACACATGTAGCTAGGTCACATCTCATCGCATTTGCATAATTTGTTACCAATGCTGGACTAGGTTATGGATTTGGTTCCGCAAATGTTCAAGATTTGTGATAAAATTTCCTACAATTTTGGTTCATTCCAATCCACGAAATACATGCACAGCTTTGTGTGATCTATATAACCAAGGCAAAACTACCCCATAAGTTAATGAATTATCAAGTAAGAACAGGATGATTAAATACATGGGTCGATGTGGCAAGAGAAGGATTTAAAATTGCTGAGATCGAAGTAAGAATGTTACTGCTTTCTGGAGAATCAGATATTTTTATAAAAAAAGATGAAGATTTACTTATAAATCCGGATACAATCTGAATGATTTTCCTAAAGCAGATGGAATTAGTGGTTAGTAATAAATATTGACTCTTTCCGTAACATGATAGACTAATTATATGAACTCATTCTCCCATATAGTGAAAGTGGATTTGGTATGAAACAAACTCATGAACAAACAATTATAAGACTCCTAAAAAAACTTTTTGGGCAACCTAAAGCCGATAGAAAGAAAGGTAGGAAATATTGTGTTAAACGAATTCATCAATCACGTTTTTTAGGGAACACAATCGTCATACTTATTATTGCTTATCCTCCCTTCATATAACTAAGATTTTAATGACTTCACTCTATCCAACGCAGTTAGCTGAATTTACATAAAACCTCAAGATTAACCGTCGATTTCGACGGGGTTCCACTAGTTATTTATGATTTTAAATTGATTCTCCACTGCATGGCAAGTTTTTTTATAGTTTCAACAAAATGATGAATTTAGTATACGTCACTTTACAGTTAAAGTTCACTAACTTTGACAAGTCGTTGCCCTTGATTGCGTAAGCATAGACATTTTTTAAAAAGCAAACTTAGTAGAACCACTCTTTATGTACAAAATGGTGTTTGGTTCACAATTTAAATGTCAAAACTAGAATCGCTATATGATACCGCGCGAAGCGGTTTTCTGACGTTTTTCAATGGGGGTAGGGAACCCTCTTAATATTTAAATTGTGATTTATTGAATTTGTCAAAATAAAGTACAGTATCATTATCAAAATTTTTTGTGAACTTTTGGAAACAATATGATTTGGACAGATCCTTTTTGAAAATTATTATTCATGAAACATTAAGAGGTTCATTGACCATAATGAGAAATCATCTATATGGCAAACATCAAAATTAATCAGTCTTATAGCTGTATAAACCTTTGATATTTTATGTGTACTATTTTTCTGTGTCATTGGCAACCTTATTTTTTTTAAGGCAGAGGTATTTATTTTTGTAAATAAATTCTTTTCTCTCAATGGGTTTTTCTGATTTTAAAATGGATTTTCTTCTGCATCGTGTCATGTTTTGCAATATAATGTTCTATTACCAAATCAGTGGAAAATCCTATTATCACAGTAAACTCTTTTCTTTTGGAGTTATTAAATCTATTGTATGGGTTGGTTTCTGCCTTTTTTACCACTTCTTGGAGATTATACGTAGGTGATATTCGTTGGCAAATTGCATCTGTAGACGAAACTTGGGTTGGTGTATAGAATGGAAAAGAGTGAGAAATCCTGGACAATTTGATATAGGCTAAAAATAAAACTGAATTAACACTGTTCAATTGAAATAACCGATTTGCAAACAATGGAAACATAGAAAAAGTCATAGAACACAACCAAGTAGAAGAAATAGAAATAATGTTTTTTTTCATTTATAATCGTTATCATAGACAACCTAATGCGACTATGAGAGGGAAAAATTTGTAGAAAACACTAAAAAAACAAGATCAGCTTTTTGAAAAAAGATAAGATATTTACAAAATATTTTGATTATATCTAACTGTTGTGTAGATTGTGAGTATTTCCATAATCTTTGAGTCGCCTGTAATGCAATTGCTCGAATTCGAGCAACAGGTACACTAGTAATTGATAATTTTGATAATTGAATTGACTCAGTTTACAGGAATAGATCCTTGAAAATCAGCTGTTCGCGAAACAGTTCGCCGATTCTCTTCTAGGTAGCGTTAGTCTTCAGCCATGCACGTGATCTTTTTCGTCTGAACAAATTAGTTCTCTATTTAGCCGCTTGGTGTGCACACAGCTGTGGCGTTCAATAATACCATAGTTCTTGCATGTTCATTGGTTAGCTCAAAACATTCCCACAAATGATTGGTCTATTCACCGGCTGTCAAAAGCTGTTTCTGTACTGTTTGTGTATCATTGTACCTGTGTTGCCTTCATGTCGTGCTGTGGTGCCCTTCTTTAGTGATTTTAGTGTGTTAATTTTGTCGTCGTATTCGTATGCTGTACTGCAAAGGTGTTTCAGCTAGTTTTATTCCCTAGGGTGAAGAGATCTTCCAAATTATAGACCTTTCATTATGTTTTTATCGACGACATTGCAAGTCCTAAAATAGTGGATTTTTAGGTTAACTTATTATTGATTTAGACATCCCATATTTCAAGTTTTAACATTATTCCTTGACCTTATAAGTTAACTTAGCATATGAACATCGTTTGAAGAATTATTAACAGTACGTAACTTACTATTATTAGCGACCTACTTTAAGAAGTTTATCGTTCTTGATATCAAATTGAGATTTCTGTTTGAAAGTAAGGGCTCTAAATTTTGTTTTGTTTTGTCTAATCATTTTCCTAAACTTTTAATCTATCTTTGGCTTGATTTTTTATATAGGTACCGGCATTTGAAACCGATCATTTCAAACTCAAACGATTAGTTAGAAACAAACAAGTTAGTTAGAAACAAGACTAGCTACTATTTGTCTATTGATACAACTTATCCTACAAAAATCAAGCTTATTCCCACCTTTTTAAGTTTTGATGCAAAACAGCTGCACAGATGGAACCTACTTCCCCAACTTATTCTAGGGTAATAGATAAGTTCTGGTAATCATTTTGCTAAACAATCCTAATCTTGAATTTATTATTTCAGAGTCAGACATTTCTTTGAAAATTATAAACCAGCACATTCATAAAGCACAATAAGAAAAACATGATAACTTGCCATGTCTCCTGTAAATAGGAACAACAATTATTTTAAAGCATCTTCTGTGATACTGTTAGAAGGTAATGTTCGACAGTGATGTCTATAAGCACTAGTAGCTCTAACTACACGGGAGCAACGTCTGCCATGGGAGTGCCATATCAGCCTAGGCTCCCTTCTCCGGGAAACGGAGACATTGTAGATGATTGGCCCAATAGTACATTCAATGTATCACTGATATCGTCTGTGTTCGGTGTTACGTATTGCACACACTGGGGGCCAGTGAACCATGGATATTTTCAACTTGCCAATACGTTTTTCTTTCTCTCGTATCTTGCCCCGAATGGACTATATGGAATTCTATATCTGAGATGTACTTTGTTGGTCGGCTGTGCTTTTTTCGCGCTGTGGGGTTGGGCAGTGTTGTGTTCATTTGACGCTTTCCTGTGGAACGCTAACTTTGTGGCGATAAACTTCATCCACGTTTGCATCCTCCTGTACCATTTACGACCCATCAAATTCACAAAGGAAGTTGAAGAGGTAAGTTTAGTTGCTTGATGTTGAAGAGGTTTGTTGCTTTGATGTTGATTGTTAAAATGTAAATTTTAGGGTTCTTTATGCCTTCAAATCTAAAGGTTGCTGGTGGTTTGATCTCACTCAGGTTCAATTCTAGAGCCAGATGTCATGTCACTCATAGAGCTGTCAATTATTCAAGATGCTTAAGATGGGAGACGTTAGTATCAATACCACAGACTGATCCGTCACTGAAACGATCCGTAATACGTCAAATAAAATAATATAGGCTAAAGTAACTTAAACAGTTAAATAAAAAGCAAAAAAAAACCATTTAAACTAGGCTACCGTATAATATCTAGAACGCACACTTGTACACAATTGTATCTATTAAGGTAGTATTTTAGTACCACAAGTAATTTATCCTCAAAATAATTGCAAACTTTCAGGGCCGCTTTAGGCAGAGGCCTAATCAATAAAATCGTCCTGTGCCCAGGGCTCATGATTTAGGTTTGTTGGGGTCGCGAGGAGAACAATTTCCTCTCTAGGCACATGGCCCATAGTGAATCGAACATGCAAAACGCAGGCCTGCAAACTTTTATCAATTATTTAAGATGGGGACACAGGACACCCCTAGGTGTGTTTTAATCCAAAAATATGAGTGTAGGATGAGTGGCATGATCTTGTAGTCTTGTTACTGACTAGTCCTAAGGCCGACATGTTCCTTAGGCACAGCTGTTAATTAATAGCCCACGCAGCCAATGGCAACTAAGACCCTTCAGTTGATAGTGGAATCCGAACCACATTTTGCCTTGTAATTAGGTAGTAGGTAGTACTCACTAGTGCGGATGTTAATCCACACCAGGGAGTATCGCATCCACAGTGCATGCCTATAAATATCCCCAATTCGTGACCTCCTAGTAGCTGGATTACAGGACGACGCCACTGTCCAAGTCAAAACATAAAACATAAATAGGCCTATTCTTGACTAGGCACCGAAGAAGGTGACATAGTAGCCGAAACGATTGTCATCCGCCCTTCGAGGGGGTAAGAGTCACAAGACAATACTGAGGTAAATTAGCCTCTTATTTATATGTTGAGAATGAGAATGATTTATTTCCTGAAAGCATAATATGTACAAGGAAACGTCAATAGCCTACATCAATCTAAGCCTGCAACACACCATGCAGAGAATTGAAAAACAAAAACAAAACTTATTTAATCATCACACATTGGCACTCATTGGCTAAAAAAACTTACTTACTTGGCCAGGTGAAATTTCAAAATACTCTTTGAATGAGTAAATTGGATTTGCCAACAGAAGAGATTCCATCCCCTTTTTGAATTTTGCTTCCGGCAGGTTCCGAGCTGTACAAGGGAGTTTGTTAAAAAACTTATATCTCTGTGTACAATGTTAAGTGACTCTAAATAATAACTTTAAATTCATAGAAAACCATTCGAATAGACCCTATTCTTTAAAAAGATAAACTTTTTAGTTAGTTTTATTTAATAGTTTTTTAGCTCTGAAATACAGTTTTGAAAGAAATTTTGAAATCTGTTATTGTGGATAAAAATGAGAAAATTAATGTTAACCCTAATAACGCCCTGATTATGGTGGTTAGTGAACTCGTTCAAATTTAGGTTATCCAAATTCAACAGATTAATTACATTTTATTAAATCTGTTTTATTGTGTCTCTGACAAATAGGCAAGATCATCTTCAAGTGTTATTTAGACATATTTTTTTATTAACTTTCCGAAGTAGGTATTCTTGACAAAAATATTTTGGCTATGTTAAAATTTTTATGTAGGGACTATGACTAGGCCTATAGACATTCTAACCTCTCAATAGTAAGTTATAGGTTTTAATTTAATTCTAGACGTTGTTTTAAGTTCATGTCTCCAGGCTACTTGTAAGTTTTTGGCATTTAAAGGAGATCCCCACTGTCTACTTACTTTTGCCAGAAGGTGTCAAGTGTAGATATTGTTCATGCTGTACATGTTTCAAGCTTCTTACAGCTCATCTTCAGCAGCGTTCAAGTATCTAATAGCCTATATCACGAGCGATGTTTGTAGAATATTTTACAGATAACTTAGCCTACTTAAATGTGATAGCCTATAATATAATAAATACATGAATGCTGCTGAAGATGAGCTGTAAGAATCTCGAAACATGTACTGAATGAACAATAACTATATTTGAAACTTTCTGGAACTACAAGTACCCATGGTGGAAGGAAAATACATAGGTGTGCTATTCCCTTCATATTCAGACGTCACTCGGATTGCAAACAAAAGATCACCTGATTGTAACTGTCAAATTAGTATGTATTTGTTTTGATTTGATTATTGTTATTGTGTTTATAATGTTTTCAAAATAGTTGAATGTTTTCATTATAAAAACAATAGTAGAGTGAAAATTTAAAAACGTACGTTTTCATGTCCCTGGCCTTTTACTTCGTAGATACTGGATTTGTAGTTTATTATTATGTGTTTTAATATTTTTTGGGACGGGGGCGACATGTTACACACATTTATTTGGTTTTAAATAGGTTCTAGGTATTTTTTTCGTATTTTTAAAGTCTCTAAATTCACGACCATGACGTGTCCCTAGGGTACATTTTCCAACTTTCACGCTGTTTTTAGACTAATTATTCATGCTGAAATATATAAAGCCATATTTTTATGTCATCAATGGTTATTAAACTTACAAAAAAGAAGCATATTATAATTTTATTGACATTGCAAACTGACTACCATGACAAAATAAGTCTGTCCCTCGATTTGGCATCACGACCATTTGGGAAAAATTTTCAACTTTGGAGCACGACAGTGGCAAGCCTGGCGTCGATGGAGTCAGTTGGTTTTAGAGACTAGTTCGGGGTGTACGTCAGGATTGTAGTGCCAGTCGTTTCGAGTTGAAAGGAGGATTTACAAGATTAATAAAGGAAAGATTGTGTTTTTTGTAATTTTGGTGTGTCCATGACCGTACGTAGTCATTCGATGAAGTAGACATGGTGTTAATTTTTGTTGATAAGATATTTCAATTGCTAGATTAACCTAGAAGTCCACTTTGTATCCTCGAACATGAGGTGCAGGGCTACTGCCAGAACAAAGCCAAATAACACGTAATTTCACGACCAAAGTTTCACGACCATCGCGGGTTTTTTCACAACCAATCCAGCCTTATGGATTATAGTGTGTTTGGTCGTGACAATAACTTGAATATAATTGTAAATTGAACAGTTTAGTTCAGTTGAAACACATATTTTTATTATAACTAACAGTATAATTGAAGGATTGTTTAGAAATATTTAGATTATTTCAGAAAATTCACGACCGTACCGCTTGTCCCTGACCATCACGTTTACTATTTCTATCATACAAATTTCAAAAATTAAAATATCGTCATATTTCAATGTTTTATACACAAAAGAAGCTTACCTCTATACAAACATAACGATTTTTCGGGTCTCAGGTAGGTTTTTTCGGAGTTATACAAACTTAAAAAGATTTTATTAGCTTTTTTTCAATTTTTTGAGTTTTTTTATTTTTTTCTAGAAAGACCAAATATACCAAAAGTTCAGTGACCTTTTTATTGTATAATGGTCATAAAAGTAAATTAGTTTATAGCAAAACATAGTTATAAAAATAATATTAACTATTTTTAATATTCATTTAAACGTCTGTTATGGTCTTGACAGGATTTTGTGTTTTTCCACTAAAGATGCTATTAAAAAAAAAAAAAACAACCAAATATATTGCGTTACCATGGACATTTTATGAAACTTCAAATGTTAATGAAATAAAAAAAATAATAAAGGATTTGAAAAATACCCCCGCCGCAGCAAACCTGCAGACTAAGCGAATTTCAACTTGTCTGATTACATATTTACTAAAATACTTCCATAAATAAGACATATTTATTCCCAATTTAAATAACATTAGATATAACGAGTGCTTAGGTTTGCTGCTACGGGGAAGGTAAACAGTGTTTTTTGACCAAACAACAATAGTATAGGATGAAATAAATAAGTTTGCCAAACTTGATCAACATATATCCATAAACAAGTAAACTACAACAGTTTTCATTTTCTCCATAAGAATAACATGGGAATTTTAAATTTGAATTTTTTTGAATTCTCTCGGTGATCGTTAGGCTTACAACAATGCTTCAATATACTAAATTATTACTTTTTTTAAGCTCTACAAAATGGTTGGGAAAGAAATTCTAAAATTTTTTGTTTTTAGGGTCAAAAATGGGAAAAACCCATTTTTACTCCATAAAACCCCCCATAAACCCCTGTTCCCATGGTCCAATTATGCTGGATCGCGAACTCGTTCGAATAAATGTAGGTTTACATGTTTGTACCAAATTTCATCAAAATCGGATCATTTTTGCTCGAGTTATCGCGCTAACGGACACATATATATATATTATATGTGATATATATAAATATATATTTATATATATATATTTATTAATATATATTTATTTATTTATTTATTTATTTTATTTATTTATTTATTTATATATTTATTTAATATATATTTATTATAAATATATATATAAATATATATATATCTATATGAATTTGAACGGATGGTGTTTTTGGCCTCTAGGGACATCAAAACGAGAAAAAAAATCGGTCCCGTGTCCAGGTCTTACCATGAGTACTACGGTAATAGCTTATTCCCTATATGGGAAATTCGCTAAAAGGGGAAAAAAATTGCAAAGTGCATTTTCTGAAAACGTACGTTTTTAAATTTTTACTCAGTAACCAAATCAAAACAAATACATATACCAATTTGACAGTTACAATCAGGTGATCTTTTGTTTGCAATCCGAGTGACGTCAGAATATGAAGGGAATAGCACACCTATGTATTTTCCTTCCACCATGACAAGTACCGGTAATTAGTATGATTGAATATGAGGTGTAAACAATAAGAATCATATGATTCTTATGTGCATCAAAATCACCTTACCTGGAAGGATGTTTCTTTAACCGTTTATAAATTTGCTATT